CTGTCGTTGGCTCAAGTAAAAGATGCCTTTTGCATTCTGGCTGTTCTGCCTATAAACATAGAAAACTCGTGCACGAAGCCGTTTTGTGGGCATTGGGTCATGGGCAAAGTTCAAAACGTAGAAAATGGCCTTGCCCACGCATTTTCGGGCCTTCGTTCGTGGGCAAATAACCCTAAACCCTAAACCCTGAACCCTAATCCTAAACCCGAAGCCCTAAACCCTAAACCCTAAACCCTAAGTCGGAGTCCGAACCTTGGGGTTCCGTTCAGGGTTCCGTTTAGGGTTCCGTTTTGGGTTTCGTTTAGGGTTTCGGTTAGGGTTCCTTTTCGAGTTCGGTTCAGGGTTCCGTTTAGGGTTCCTTGTGGGGTTTCGTTTAGGGTTTCGGTTAGGGTTCTTTTAGGGTTCGGTTCAGGGTTCCTTTAGGGTTCCGTTCAGGGTTCCTTGTGGGGTTTCGTTTAGGGTTTCGGTTAGGGTTCTTTTAGGGTTCGGTTCAGGGTTCCGTTTAGGGTTCCGTTTTGGGTTTCGTTAGGGTTTCGGTTAGGGTTCCTTTTAGGGTTGGGTTCAGGGTTCCTTTAAAATTCCGTATTGGGTTTCGTTTAGGGTTTCGGTTAGGGTTCCTTTTAGAGTTCGGTTCAGGGTTCCGTTTAGGGTTCTTTCTTTGGGTTTCGTTTAGGGTTTCGGTTAAGCTCCCTTTTGGGGTGTCGTTTAGGGTTTCGGTTAGGGTTCGTTTTCGTGTTTGGTTCAGGGTTCCGTTTAGGGTTCCTTGTTGGGTTTCGTTCAGGGTTCGGTTCAGGGTTCCGTTTAGGGTTCCTTTTAGGGTTCGGTTCAGGGTTCCGTTTAGGGTTCCTTTTCGGGTTTCAGGGTTTCGGTTAGGGTTCCTTTTCGGGTTCGGTCCAGGGTTCCGTTTAGGATTTCGTTTAGGGTTTCGGTTAGGGTTCCTTTCAGGATTCGGTTCGGGGTTCCGTTTAGGGTTCCTTTTCGGGTTTCGTTTAGGGTTTCGTTTGGGGTTTCGGTTAGGGTTCCTTTTAGGGTTTGGTTCAGGGTTCCGTGTAGGGTTCTTTTTCTAAACCCTAGACCCTAAACCCTAAACCCTTGACCCACATCAAACCCTAAACGGCTTTTGCTGGGCTCTCAGGGTTTTTGGTCGAGGGTGTCGGGTTTAGGGTTGCGATATGTGGGTTTAGGGTTTAGGGTCTAGGATCCGGGCAGAGGCCAGAGGATCTTTTTTTGTCGCTTTTCGGTTTGTTGGTGAAAATACATAGTCAAGATCTAACATGGAGTTGTGTTTTGTAGCTGGTTGGAAGCCGGTGCTGTAAGGCAAGTCGCAGCCTGTTGAACGCTTCGACGTGTTTTTCTCACACACCTGGAGAACGCCTGGAAAGCGGAAATATCTTTCGCTGCTGTTCCAGTACGGCTGGCCAACCGTGTTTCAGAACTGCGCAATCTCCGTGATGCTGGTCTTTGTCCTTGGTGTCTTTGGTGCCCTGCCCTTACCCATGAGCCTGTTGGTGGATGTCTTGGGCTTCCAGGCACCATGTGCTTTTGCTCCATGGGTCTTCCTCACGGGCACTCTGGCCATGCCAGTATTCTTACTAACGTTTCCATACTGCAGCTGCGCCTCCCCGAAGCCAGGAAAGCCGTTGGGAGATTTTCACAAGTGCTTTATTGGGACTAAGGCATTTCGTTGAATGCAGATTGTGCCCCGAATAAAGGACATGTTTCCTGGCCTTAATAAGAGTCCTTAAAGAGACTCTTAATAAGAACCCTTAGCAGAACCCCTTTTCAGAGGCCTTAAAGGAGCCCTTTATAAAAGCCCGTAAAGGAACTCTTAAACGGAACCCTTAGAGCAACCCTTGACAAGAGCCCTCAGCGGAACCCTTTATGGGAACCCCTAAACCTTAAAACCCTAAACCCTAAAACCCTACAGCCCTAAACTCCAAAACCCTAAAACCCTAAAGTCAAACCCAAAAATAACAGAAGCCCTTCACCAGGAAATGCTTCCTTGACGTCGTCAGCATCCATCAGACGGACCGCGCCCTCAAGATGAGGGGTGTCTATGGGCCTCTAGACTCTTGTTAAGTACCTTGAACTACCAAAACCTGGTTTAGGGTTTAGGGTTTAGGGTTTAAGATGAGGGAGGTCTATGGGCCTCTAGACTCTTGTTAAGTACCTTGAACTACCAAAACC